CCCACCGCAGAGTACCACTCCAAATCACCTCCCCCAACCCAACATCTGCCAGTCGATCCGACGTCGCCTGTACTCAGCCACGCAGGTGCTCAGCGTAGAGTGTACGAGATCATGTACCTCCTATTTACCTCGCCCAACCGAACCATCGCACTCGCCTATTCCCAAGCATTCCTCAATCGCGACGGCTTGGTCAAGATCTTCGAGATTTCGCATCCATGCAAGGAAGGCAGAGTTGGATGGTTGAGGATGTGGATGGTCTGTGGGTTCTTGAGCGGGCTCATGGGTATTCCAGACGTTAGTGGGGTATTTGTTAGCACATCGCATGCTGGGTCAAGCCATCCCGCTTCGAGTCATTCTCCTGCTACTCCCGGGAAGAAGAGGTCGCGCTGGCCATGGTCGGTTTCCTCCTCAACTGCCCCGCTCAAGTACCCAGAGCAACACCTGCACTCAAAATATACCCATATGGCCGATGTCGCTCTCGCCCACCTTCAGCTGGACAAAAATCGATTGGATTTGTTCTTACAGTTTTGGAAACCAGACGCGTTAAGGAGCTTCCTTGTGTCGCTGGTGATAGGATACTTCGGAGAGGACGGGAGTAGATGCAGACCGGAGATCTCGTTCAGCCATCGGGCGGTGATTCTCGGTGCAGTTGCGACGATGCTCAAGCTGTCTTGTCGGCCGACCAGTCCACCGGGAGCTTCTTCCTCTTCCTCCTTATCCTTTGAAGACGACGAGCATGACAGAGCTCTCGTGTCTCTTGGAAACCTGCGACAGGTCATCAATGAGGTGGTGGGGATGACGAGGGAGCATGCGAGATTTCAGTATACATGGCGGCGGAGCAACTCGAGATGCCTTTGTCCTGGCTATGCGGACGGTTTTGCGTTGGTGGATCAGCTTCAGAGGATGGTCATGGTGGGGGATGGTTCCCAGGTAGAGGTTATCTGGGAGTACGTGGGTGGAATGAACATCGCTGGTCTTCCGTGAGTTCTTTGTACCCGTCGTCATTTCAACGGTTGGTCTGAAGAGTTCTTATCATCGTAGGGTCAGCTTGTCTCGGGAAGATGGGGTAATGAAGTACGCCCCGTACGCCATCCCACTCCAAGCCATTCAGCAGTGTTCGCCCGTTTTATCTCAACGGCGATAAGAGGCCAGCGGTGTCAGTTGGAGTAATGATTGGTGGAGTTCGAGTAGCTTTGGCGCCCTTATTTTGCCCATGGGCTGCATACCATCACCTCCATCGACCACCTTCAAAACCTCGTTTCCTGCCCCTCTGAAAGTGCTGTAGTGTTGGAGCGTATCAATGCCATTCACTGCTACCATCGTATTGCCCACCTCAATAACTGTTATCCCAGGGCGCTCGATCTAGAGCATGGCACGAAGCTTAACACCCCCACAACCATCAACTTCTCCCGGCAAAGCTAACCATTTTCCCTGTCCAGAGCCTACGCAACGGCTTGCTTCTACTAGCAACGCGTGTGAGCTCTGGATAAATATGCTGCGTCAAGTTAGGGGTCAGGGGGGGTCGGGGGGGTCAGGGGTCAGACGCGTGTGAGCTCTGGATACGCATGCTGCGTCAAGTTATGGTTGAGGTCACCACTATTTCTGCTCCTTCATCTCTGTCTCTCTCCTTCCTAGCGGTGCTTCGATAGGCTCACACTCTTTTTCATCTCGCTCATTATTTCCCTCTATTTCTTCGCTTCCTTCGTTCTTTATATCTTGAGACTTCAAACATATGTCTTTGACAGCATTCACTCGCGGGCCCGTTGCCGCCGCTGACCCAGTCCTTCGGTCTTCTATCTCACCAGGTGTAACAGGTCTACTCACCCTGCCTCCCCACAACGAGGGCACCGCAGTATTCGTACTCCACGTCAACCTCGTCGTATTTTCTCTCATCGGGCTCCTATCGGTCCCTCGCCTCGTTCGCACGCTGGTCCGTCTTTCGAGGTGGCACGCATGGAAAGATGGGTTTCTCCTCCGACACAAGCGTCTCAAGGTCTCGCCACGGTCCAAATCGTACAAGCTGAAGGGTTACAAGCCCGGCACCTTACCGATAAGCTGGCCCCGAAACACTCTGCCCAATGATATGGCGTCGGACGACTCCCACATCAACCTTGTCGACATGTCCAGGATGCAATCTATCCCCAAGACGCTGCCTCGCCACATCGGACCCGCCTCTACCTTCCCCTCGTTGCAGCCTCTCTCGAGCGTACTGCGCACGAGGCTTTTCTACTCTCAGGAGATGACTGTGGGGCGACTCGCCATTGTCGCCATCTACCTCGGGATCATGTTGTTCGCGTCCTTATTCAAGAACAACTTGTTCACCAATTCAAAGAGGGCCGGATACGTGGCCATGTCACAAGTACCCCTTGTTTTCGCCCTTGCGACCAAAAACAACATCATTGGGATGTTTGCGGCTGTTGGTTACGAGAAGGTATGTTGTGACGCTTTACTCCATGCGTATATTCTTTGACTCGGTGTTCTAGCTCAACTTCTTCCATCGCTTCGTGGGCAGGATACTGGTACTCCTTGTGAATTTCCATTCCTTTGGCTACTGTGAGTTTTACCTCAGCCACAAGGGTTCGGATTTGTCGACTAAAAGTATTGGGTAGTCTACAGATGGCAGCTCGAAGGAACCTTCACCAGTTCTATGAGGCAACCCTCTCATATCTGGGGAGTGCTAGGATTCGCAGCCATTAACTTCGTCTATCTCTCAAGTTTCGGCTTCATGCGCAAGCGCTTCCATACACTCTTCTTCGTCTTTCACTTTGTTGGGTTTAGCCTTTTCCTCGTTGCGGTACGTACGCCCTTACAACATCCGAGTTTGAAATGCCCATGACTGACTAGGCACACCACCTCAACAGATTTACAAGCACCAACCCATCATGATCCCCTACGTTTTCGCAGCCTGCGGTCTCTACGGTCTGGACCGCGTAATCCTACGCTCCATCAAGACCCGCTTCACCAAAGCCACTATCCGCGCTCTCCCAGAACTCAACGCAACCCACATTCAGATTCCCGGTATCAACGCCGGCTGGCGCGCGGGGCAACACGTCCGCGTGCAGGTACTATCAAAGAGCATGGGATGGGTCGGGTGCTTTGAGGTCCATCCGTTTACTGTTGCTAGTGTCAGCGAGAGCGAGGAGGGGATGGTGTTGATCTGCCAGGACGTTGGTGATTGGACGCGGAAGCTGTATAACCTGGCGAGTGCAGGGATTGCGGCTGCTGAGAAAGGAGGGGAGGTGGGGAGGGAAGTGCGTCTGATGGTTGAAGGGCCCTACGGTGAGTGCTCTTTAAACTTACTATCAATCATCGCGATGCTCACTTTCTTCGCGCAGGAGGACTCGGGTGTACTGTGGTCAGCAGCTACTCTGCCGCTCTTCTCATCGCTGGCGGAAGTGGCATTACGTTCGCGCTGTCTGCAGCTCAACATCTTCTCAATTGTGAGGTCAAAGGTCAGAACCAAGTCGAAGTGTTGCATGTCGTCTGGATCATCAAAGATCCCGGTATGTTACTCTTTGTCCAAGATGATGATCCAACTTATTCAAAAAGTTCCATTCCAGCGTCCGTTTGCCCTTTGATTCCTACCCTCACGTCCCTGATACGGCAAGCACAGTGCTCACCTATGTCGAATCTCACCGTCAACGTCTCAATCTACTACACCGGTACCTCTCGCGCCAGCCCCAAAACCCTTGCCATGCTTGATACAATCCACCTCGGAGGGCTCGAAATGCGGCCCAATAGGCCTGATATAGCAAGCGTCATCACCGAGACGATTGACCAGACGGTCAAGCCTAACAGGGGACTCGCCAGTGGCAAGGACGAGACACGGTACCAGGGGATGATCATAGCTGTTTGTGGCCCAGCGGGACTGGGGAGCAGTGTGGAGGCTGGGGTGGGGAAGGTAGATTGGGCGAGGAAGCGTAGTGTGGGTGGGGTGGAGGTCTGTGAAGAGTGAGTTCTTTTTCTTCATTTTATTACGAGAGCTGTGCACTCATACATAGCCTTGGGAACAGGACATTTGGGTTGTAGTTCTTGAGCGGCCCAGTGATACCCTATGCATGGCCTTTGGAATGGTCGTATGGTGTATACACAGCTCGATGCTGTACCACGGTGCAAGTCACCAGTGGATATTGGTGGGGGGACATCATTTAAATATCTGTCTCTTCAAGCCACTGCTCTCTTCGTCAAGCTCAATCAATGTTCTCCGAGTCTGGCTTGAGTCTGGATGACGTTAGTAGCAAGCTTTCTTATTGCATTCATCTTCACAAATCAAAGAGCGAGGCCGACACGTGTGATAATTCGCCCGACGTCTCTATGTCAATAATCCGATTAATCGCTTCGAGCCTAACATCTCCCGGTGGCCCATTCACTAGAAAGGAGACAGATGAGCGTGATACAACACCTCAACTGTGAGAGGAACTTATCGCAGACTTCCTGCGGCGTTCGGTCGCATACACTGACATTCTCCAGAAATCTTGGACGTCCTATCTCTTTTCGAGCTAGCGTAAGCAGTGCTGCAAAGACCTGAAAATGCGGGACTAAGTGGATTTCAAGAAAAGCTACGAGCTTTGAGTGACTAGGGAGATCTTCACAATGAATTCGTGATACTCTTAAGCGTAGCTTTACTGACGACACTTATTTTGACTATCGTGGGACAAGCACAAGACAAGCGCGATGTAGTCGTACTTGTGCTGTGTCTAGCTAGACAATGGGCTACTCAGCTGGCAGTGATTGTCGGCTAACCTCAATCGATGCGCTTGATCGCTCTCTTATATTAGTGCCCGTGTCGACGTCGTGAGGTGCTGTACTCGAGTAGTTTGCGTATGGGGATATAAATTACTGAATTGGAAATCTCGAAGTGATACGAAAAAAATCATACAGCATGGTTAACGGCGTCGTAGTAAATTGTATAAGCATCGTTTGGACCTGTTACTTGCTCTTGTGTAACTTGAACGTTTTGCAGCCTAAAAAGACCTTATAAAACATGCAAAAAGAACACCGGGCCTCACCGGGAATTGAACCCGGGACCTCGCCCATTTGTGCTTACGTAAGCGGATTACGCGGCAACCCGAAGGGCGAATCATACTTCTAGACCATAAGGCCGATGGAAGCAGTTCCACATGCAAAAATAGATACCAATAATTTGGCTGGCTGGATGCGGTTCAAGCGACGTTTTCATTATGCGTTCTGCCAACGTCACCGTGAGTCTGCAGTGTTTAAGCCGTCCGCTGGCATGTGAAGAAATTCGCTATACGGCGGCACTCACGATATCGGGTATCTAGACCGTACGAGTAGTATTAATGTCTGGTTCTTACAGTTACTGAAGTGGACGGTTGGCGATACATTGACCAGTAAGTACTGCAACTATTGGTATGGATGCAAGGTAAGATATACTCCAACCCTTTAATACGCTAGATCTGTACCTAGTGCGAGCACATACTGCACCGCGGGTACGGTTCGGAGGAAAACCATTCCGAGCATATTGCACTGCGTTACTCGACTCTCGAGTGATCGTGCCGTACAGATCGGCGAGCCCGCTGTCCCCTGAATTTACCACCCTGGACCGAGCATGAGTTCGTTTGTAGACCTTGAAAGTGCTATGTGAATCATCGTTATTGGTACTGGTGTTGGTGTGTGTAACTCAACTCAAGGACAAGAGTTCTGTCATCACGCTCGCCGGAAGAAGTTCAAGTGGTTGTTTGTGGAGGACGGCAAGCCTCCGCTGATCGCCACACAGATCGGACGGTCCAAGGAGAACCTTAGGCCAAGCCCACCACCGAGCGGGCGGACTGCTCCCAGATCCGCAACCGGTTCGCTACGAATACGCAGAGTTGAGATGCATTAGCCATGCATTTGACGGAGGAAAGAGGTATAAAAAAAACGACGCTGCAATGAGGACCATGGTGGTGGCATCCGGAGGGGTATTGAAGATGAGCTTGGGGTCACCCTGGAAGGCCTCCGGAGCGCACTCATTCGAGGGTAGCCCTGCCGCCTGCAGGAGCCAGCCTTTCATCAGAACAGTGGAACTAGGGAACTGGACTTGCAGGGTTGGATACTCATTCACTGGCAATACCAGACCATCTAAGAAGAAAATAGGCGCGAGTTACGAAGATCTTGGATGTGCGTCAGACAGTGAGGCGGGATATCTGGAATCCTCAGGATGTCAGACCAAATAAAACAACCTTCCAAACGTACAATGTCATGAACCCAGTCCGAGAGTAGGTGGGCATCTAGTTTGAACACTGTTCGAGGTACCTTCTCCGGCCTGGAATGGAGCGTGCTGCGTCGAGAAAGGATGATTCCGGAGGGTTGGTGATTCTGAATGCCGCTTGTCCCCCTCGTCCGTACTGTCGGCGTCGCGCCAACGGTGAGTTCAGAAGGGATCCGCATTTTTGGTATACTTCTCCATCGATAGTTGAAAAGAGGAACCAGTGTATTGTTATCTATGCAAAACGAGGTGATGGCTGCAGGAAGAGATGCGACGGCTGCAGCCGCCCGGCTGCGCACCGCTCATCGGACCCCTCAAGCATTCCTATCATGTATCAGCTTCGTCGTATGTATTGGGTTTCTGGGTTTCAATACATACACTATGGGATATTTCGAGAATTACGATGGGTCAACGCACGTTCGTTGCATTATCGATGCCAAAGCCGACCATCACGTCTTTGAGAACTCCGACCGAAAGCGCCTGGCATCGTCGAAGTCAGCAAGTACTGTACATTCAAGATACATAAGGTACACGCATGTCGACCGAACGAAACATGCTAACATACAAAGGAAATTCCCGAGTCCGAACGAGCGAGTAATGGTACAAAGAAGGAAGAGGAGAGCAACGGAAGGACGATGGTACAAAGAAGGAAGCAAGACACAACGAAGGCAGAGCAGAACTATACGAGATACAGAACACGAGAAAGGAATCGGATGCGTTAGTACGAACACCGTCCACACTTCCCC